CCCTGCCCCCTCTCTCTGCGTCTCTGGGCAGTTTTAAATGCTAGTATTTAATCAGCTTGCATTTTACTATTCAAAACTGCTACATCGCTGTTCAAAATTTGACTTAAGGGACCGGTCATTATTTATGGAAGGGGGGGAGGGAAAAATGAGGGAGGGCCATATGTATAAATAAATGACTAGACGGGGGGGCTATTAAATTTTTCAAGAAAATGAGGAGGGGGGGGGGTTGCAATTAAATTTGAAGGAATTTGCTTAATAAGCATGGTATCCATTTGGTTGTAATTGCGACTAAATCATGGTCACTGGTGTGAAATAGTTTGGATTTATCTTGTCTTCTGTGTGCTGTATGCAAATAAGTCTTTACTGATTGCAGAGATAAATTGACAATGTATTATTACATCAGCTATCTTGATGTGGTTAAATACATTTAAGCAAGGTTAACGGCGAATGTACTATGCAGGCCACATCCACTGATGGGAGTCTGTGACGTCATATCGATTAAAGGGGGTTGTTTCGCTCCTTGTGATCAGTGCGTCGGTCTGGGTATTCATACTGCCATTGTATGCTTTGCCTAGCTGCAGCAAGTTTAGCGCTTAGATACCTTTCCCCTACCCACCCCACCCACCCATGTTTATTCTAGAGGATTTTATCTGGTAGTAGGTCATTTTATATAATTTTTAATCTCACATAAAATAAGATGTATAGACCACTATACATTATATTTTGTTTCCACTGACTTGTCAGTGTGCCGGAGGTATGCCTTGGCAGAATGTCCAGAATTGTCATGGCTATCTCCTTTTGCTGCTAATATTACTGATTGTTACTCTCATTGCTATGCAGCTGCTATGGCAATACTTTGTGCCATCAAATCTAGTTACAGCCTTGGACCACAAACGGGACCTGCTTCCAAACACTAATATTAATTCTCTGCCGTTAAACATGGTTACAATCGCGCAGATCAAATGGAAACCTGATTTTAGAGTTATATATGAAAATACCCCTCTTTTATTTATAATTTTCTGCTAATATATATTTTTGGTCGACGTTAATATCTTGTCTGCTCCATATTCTTATTTAATTGATAATTAACATTATAACGCTGGGTATCCCCATTTGTCGAATAAAAATGAAAATGGGGGGGGGTCAAAGAAAAATATTCTCATATGTAGAGGGGGGTCATCATTAAATTTCTGCTCTTTTAAGGGGGGGCTTTCAATTTTAAAATTTAGGAAAGAAAAAATTCCCCTCCCCCCTTCCATAAATAATGACCGGTCCCTAAAGTTTGTTGCGGGGGTATTATGAGGCGAAACATGTGTAAACAGACCCTAATTAAATTGTAGAGATGAAAGGCTTTAATCAGCCCGTGTTGTTTGCAGAAGAAATATAAATCATGCGGCAAACACGGGGTCGACAAATATGTTGTAAATTAATTTCAGATTGCAGTGCCAGGTTGTAAAAATAGTGAAATGCTAAAATTAAGCACTGGTCAAACGTGAATGAGAGTTGATGAGAGTTTGCATGAATGTTTTCTCGCCTCTCGTGCCCCAATCAAACGAGAACAAGAGTTGCATGAGAGTTGATGAGAGTTGACTTGATATTACTGTGTGCATAGCCAAGGATGTCGCTATAGGAGGGGGGAAGCGAGAGTTTGGATAAGAGTTTTCTCACCTCTCATGCCCCAATCAAATGAGAACAAGAGTTGCATGAGAGTTGAGAAGCGAGAGTTTGCATGAATGTTTTCTCGCCTCTCGTGCCCCAATCAAACGAGAACAAGAGTTGCATGAGAGTTGATGAGAGTTGACTTGATATTACTGTGTGCATAGCCAAGGATGTCGCTATAGGAGGGGGGGACACCCCCCCCCCCCCCCTTTCAAAAAAAAATTCAAACGTTGGTCAAAGTTGGTCAAAATGGAACCGATATTTGCCCAAAGTTGATTAAAATGAAACTGATATTTGCTTAAAATTGAAGGTAAAACTTGGAAAAATTTGGTAAAAGTTTGGGATAT